TTTTAATTTTACCAAATGGGATGTAAAATTATTGCAGTGAAACAATCAACTGTTGACTGACAATGGTGAAAGTATTGTACAGAACTTTACCTAAGTTGTATGTAAATTATTGTTGTTTAGTACACAACTCTTGTCTGACGGATCTTTCATGTGATCACTGCTATACTTAATCATATCCCTTTTGTTTATGATCTTTTTTTTCTCTGTAAAATCATGCTCATCAGCTACCATTAATCATAAAAGTTAAACCTAATTTCTGGGTTACTTCCAGTACTTGCTTACAAGATCTGTAATACTGAATATTTCGTACGTACATACATACATACATACATACATGTGTATGTGTATATATAATAGCTGCATGTTACCAGGTATACGAGCCTGGATATGTCAGGTGTAAGATGGAGAGTGTCTTCAGAACACATGAAATATCATGCTTCCTAGTAAATCGATCTTTACAATATACAAAAGAAATAATAATTGAAATAAATTTAAACTAGAAATATATAAATAATATTTACGTATTGATTAATACGTGTTTTAAGATATATTGTAAAGTATTTCAATAATAAAAAAGCATAAAGTATTGATAATTTGGAAAATCCCACATCGATCAAGTATTAGTTATCATGAGTATTTAGATGTAATATTATATTATAATAAAAAAATATTTTCTTTCATTCAATAAAAGAGTAATGTAAATGATCTTTTATCTTATTTATTTGGATGTACGAATGTGAAAACATTGTATTAATTCTAAAGACAATGTTCGTTCTATAATTACACTTATAATAAATTACTTTTAAGACAACATATATTCGTCTCTATTTTGTATATGTTTTAGAACAAATTGAGAGTACTTAATAGTTAAAGGGAGTAGAGATGAACTAAGAGGGGTAGGTAGACTTGCACAAAGTCGGATAAAAAATCGATTCGGTTTTTCACCTAGTCAAGAAACTGGATTTAAAAAAATTTGGTTCGGATCCTAACCAGTTTGGAGGGCCAGATGGTGTAACCGGTTTGGGTTTGAAAAAAAAGATTTTTTTTAAAAAACGGGATATAAAAAAACCGGTGTTTCGAGTGTGTTCGATCACTCTTACGACTTCAAGGTTTCCTCCGACGGAAGATTCAGACTGTTAGGGTCGGTATTTGTAGCCATTATGAACAAAAAATTACAAAAATAAGATTTGATAGATGTTTAGGTGACGTGTAATAATATTTGAAAAAGTTGTAATCAACCAAATACATCACCAACCTATTTATACATGTTTAGGGTGGTAAAATGGTGATTTTTTTATATAAAAAACGGTCACAAAACCCCCCGAACAGCTATATTAACGGCTAGTTTTTAAAACCCCACACCAGATTTTTTTCCGGGTTTTTAAATATCCGATCCTGTTTAAAAAAAACCGGTTTTTCCCAAATCCAGTTTCGGATATTTTTTGCCCAAAATCGGATATTCAGATTTTTTATGCACCTCTAGGGGTAGGGGTGGTAATTTAATTCAAATTCGACGGGTTTCGATCTAACCTAATTTGATAGGGTTGGATTTAAAAGAAAGTCAGACTTGGGTCGGGACGAATTTTTTTAAGGGGGTAAGGTCGGGTCTGGTGGAGGGTGAAAAACTCCGACCCAACCTGAGGATAATAATGTAATTTCCTTAAAAAATTATTATTATTTTAATTAATTCCTTATTTCGAGTTGGATTTATACTCTAAAAATTCAGATCATGTTGGAGTTGGGTGGAGAATATTTATTTTTCAAGTCGGGTCGGTCGGTGGAGGATATATAATTTTTGGGTAGGGTCATATTCGGGGTAGAGGATATATATTTTTCGGATCGGGTCAGTTGACCAAAAACCCGACTTGTTGTCATCTCTAGGGGCAGTGGCGATCCATAAATATTTTTCAGGGTGAGCTCACATATGTTAACAATATCAAATCTTAAATGGGATGGGTACAAATAAAATTTTAAGGTGGACACCATCTGTAAAATAAGTAGTTAGTTGAATAAAACTTAAATTTCAGGGTAGACACCATTAGTAAAATAAGTAACTAATTGAAGAAAAATCAGATTTAAAGGTGGACACATTCCCGCCCTCACCAAGCTGTGGCTTCACCACTGCCAAAGGGGACGCGCGTAAGAGCAATCTTCCTCTTTGAAAATTTAAAATTATCATACGTCTGTCCCTGAAATAAAGTTTTATTATTTATTAAATTCGAATAGTTACATAGGCAAGATGCGTATATTATCGATAATTAAAAATGAGTTGAAACGAATACTATCTTATCGATATATATATATATATATTTATTTAAACGAAGGACTATGATTACGGGGCAGTAGGGAATCTGATAATGAAAAAGAGAGGAAGAAAATTGGACCACCTTTATTTAACTTTAATTATTCATTGTTGAAAATATTGTTTTCTGATTGGGCAGCGGGAAGACTGCAATACAGTCAAAGCAGGTCAACAAGGACAACTGAATCAGACATTGACAAAAGGACCATTTGTTTCAATTGTACCTTATTTCTTCATTTTTCTCTCATTTATTAGGCTCTTGCTCGTAAAAAGTATTTGGATAAACTACACCCCTCATCACTTAATTATGAAAATATTTTAATCTGATTATCGAAAATTAGAATCGAATCGATAGAATATGTAAATAATAAAGATCAAGTACTATCATGTCACATTCTTCATCAAATATTAATGGTTAATGCATTCATTGATATTTATTTCAATAATTAAGTGGTCTAATTGGTAAAACTTAAAGATCGATTTCCATTTTAAAACACTCATAGTTAAGTGGTAATAATTGTAGTTTACTCTAAAAACTTTTATATATTAACAATTTATTTAATATATACTTTTTATAATATTTTCATTCAATTATAAAGTAATGTATGTGTCATGTTAAAAAAATATTTATATATTACCAAATATTAACATTTTTATAATACTTTTTATAATATTTATTTTTAAGGAATAATTACAATTATAATCCTCTTTATATTTTTTTAATTAGATCCCTACTTTTATTAAATAAAATTAATATTTTTGTATAAACATATTTATCTCGGATCGAATTGAGTTTAGATTTTATCTTAAAAAATTAGGTCGGGTGAAATAATCCCTGAACTCAGATCGGATCATATTCGAGTGAAAGGTTTACGTTTTCGAGTCAGATCGAATTGATTGAAAACCCGACCCGACTCAACTCATGTCATCCCTCCACAAAAATTAAAATTGTTATTTATTTGGTTTGCTCCTAATAGATTGTATATAATTCTATGAAGGTCGTACATGGGGTCTTAACATTTTCAAGATAAATGTTCGTTTGGGGTCTCAACATTTTTAACCGCTCGACCAATTAATAAGTCTCAACTCGGGATATAATTTTGATTAAGGTAAACTATTTCAAATATCACTCGCTTTTAAGCTCGGCTTGTTTATGTCACTAACGTTTCAACTTTGTCAATTTTAACACTGACGTTTAAGTTTAACTGAAATTATGCCACCCCGCCATTAATAGCTTAACGATACGATGACATGACATGCCGTGACGTTGCTGACATGACTCCCTCACCAAAACGACATTGTTTTAGCGCAACTATTTTGATGCTCGAAAAGTCCGAAATCGTTTTAATTAAGAAAAAAATGAAATAACATTCTTAGGGTGATTTGAACTTTTAACTCATAGAAATATAAGTTAAAGCTTAACCATTATTGAGCTAACTTTAATTTTTGTTATATTTTTATAAATATTCTAAAAATTTAATTTTGCAGTTGCTATTAGCGCAACATTGCTGCTGCGGCGGCGACGAAGAATCTTCACTCTCGTCCTTGGTTTGTTTCTGTTGCTGCAGGCTGTGTTGCCGCTCCTTCTTCGCCTGCTTCTGTCAGCGCTCATTCGTGGCCTGCTACTTTTGAGCGAGCCTTTGGGAGACTCGGATTGTACAAGCCCGCGAGGGACGATTGCTCGTTAAGGGCGGGCTCGGCATCGACGAAGCGTTTCTGTCCATGTGGGTGGTTTCCGGAGCTTGAGTTGAAAGAGTTTCGTTTTGAGGTGAGTCGGGAGGGATCGGAAGGGAAGGGGAAGAATCGAGGGATACAGTGGGAAAAGAGACAGATCAGAACGAGGGTTTTAGGGTAGCAAAGATACCAACAGTGCAGTAAACGAGAACGAAGATCATCCATCGAAGGTCCAGGCAATGCCGAGAATACTGACACCAACACAAGGATCGGTGGAGAAATTATCATGGCTTTTGTAGTCGATTATGGTGGAGACGATGAACTAATGATGTAAAGGAAGAGTAGAGTGGCGATGAACTCTACTATAAAAGCCTTGTAGAATGGCCTTTTCGATCGTAAGTTCTACTGTATCGATCAATGGCGTCACCGGGGATCCACGTAATCTTTGCTGTTAAATGAACCGTGCCATCCTTCCTTCACCATGGATGATTAATGAGTTTGCTTCGACAACAATAAAAACAATGGGTATGTAGAGGATTCAAAGAAGAGAGAGAGAGAGAGAAATATGTTGAAGAAGACATTGGGTATGCAGAGGATTCGAAGAAGAGAGAAAGAGAAATATGCAGAGGATTCGAAGAAGAGACACCAACTTCGAATATTTTTTAGAAGCAATGGATTTACGACGTCGTTTTGGTGATTTTTAAGTATAAAAATAGTCGTGCCATAAAGACATCGTTTTAGTGAGTAAGCTACGTCAACAACGTCACGGCGTAGAGATGTCATGTTATTATACCGTTAAGTCATTAACGGCAGCCTAATTGCATTTAAACTTAAACATCATAGTTAAAATTGATAAAATTAAAACTTTAGTGACATAAACGAACTCAAGCTTAAAGATGATTGTTATTTGAAGTAATATACCCTTTTGATTATTGAGATCCAAGTAAAAATTAAGTAGGGCCCAAAAGCCGCCTAAATAGTTGGAATATGGGGATGGCCCTTCATTTTGTCTTTCCCTGTTATTTTCAGCCGCCTGTTAGGCGCCTCATTCCCCCACCACCAATAACACAACCATCCTCAGCAAATTCATCAACTTTATGTTCTCCAAATCTTAAGGTATTTTGCTCTCTTTCATCTCCTCTCCATCCATTTTCTTTCTTTATGTGTAAGATCTGCTAAAGGTTTGTGCTTGCCTACTTTCTATGTTCTATGCGTTTGCTTTTTAAATTTGTTGAACTGAATTGGATTATGCTCTTGATCTTGTTGGGTGTTATCTTTTCTTGTTAACATTTGGTTTTGTGGTATAAAAAGTATATTTTTCTTGGACGTATTCATTGTTCATGAATCGAGTGAAATTAATTCAATTTTAAGGTTGGAATCAGAAAACAAATAGATTAAGGCTCAAACCCTGTGGATATGATTAAGGATGTAAATGAAACGTCACATATTGCTAGCAACTCGAGTTCGACTAGGCAAAAACTTGAGAATGTTTTGAATTCAAGTTTTTTTTGGCTCGAGTCGAGCTTTGATTTTTGAATTTGAGTTTGACAATTATAAGCTCACAAGCTTTCGAGTCAAGTCAAGTTCAGATTTAAACTTTTCGAGTTGAGCTCAACAATACAATAATTCGACTTGACTCGTTTACAGCCCTAGGTATAATCCTCTTTCCTCCAATTTATAATTGTGTCAGTATATACACTACCACAAGTGCGTTTGAATCCAAACACATACAAATTCACCTGCATTTCGCAGCATTCTAGACAAAAATTCCCTCAACCGGACTTTGATATACCGTTTAGATGGCAGCGGTGAGCTGAGTTTAATGAAACTCACTGGAAATTCTTGACTGGATCTCAAGCCTCGACTGGCTTTTCACTGAGAATTTAATGTTTTTTTCCCTTATGATCTTCCGGTATGGGATCATAGCTATTTACTCCTTTTCTACTTTAGAAAAGAATCTAATGAGAAGAACACTTTTTGCAGAAGGAAAGGGGAGTTCTCGTGAACATTTTTGCCGAACTTCCCTTTCGAGGCTAAAAAATGAGCTTCAGGTTATGTTGTTCTGAACTCACATACCCCAATGTAGAGGGTTTGAGGAGTACAAAGGCAAATCCAGTGGCATCTAACTCTTTTAGAAGGGCTGGTTGTTATTCTCTATCATCATATTCTGATGCTAGAAAAATGATGATATCAAGTCATCTAGTTCCTGGCCATTTAGAAGGATCATTCATGGGAAAGAAACGGCAGGCAGATCCCAGAAGGAAGCTCGAATTCGTGAGGACATTGTTGATTGATAATTACGATAGCTATACATACAACATTTACCAGGAGCTAAGTGTCATCAATGGCTGTGAGTTTTCTCTTCTCTTACCATCTCCTTCCTATTGTGTATGTCTTTGTGCGTGAATATGTTTATCGCAATTACTTACCGTTATTTCTGATTTAATTCTTTTCTACTAGATTGGATGCATTTATTGTAACTTTAATTTGAAGTGCATAAGGATCTTTATTTTTGAATTCTATGGAAAACATACTTACAAGTATTTGATCAAGTTGTTTATTGGCATATGATGCATTTTTAATCTCCGTTTTGGGATTTCAAAATATTGCTTGCGTACTTGGAAACAAATGGTGGATCTGGTCATGATGGTCTAGAATGGTTTCGAATATTTATTCGATGTACTAAGTCACAACCTTATCTGAATTCTCAATTTCTTTTATGTCACTGCTTCATTCAAGTAAATCATTCCAGTTCCACCCATGACTCTAAGCTTGTATATTTTGTTTTCTGCACTCTGCATGATGGAATCAGTTTTTGTTACTGAAGAACTAAAGATTAGCTTGATTGAAGCTGTTCCTTTATGGTGTTATTTTGTCAGTGCCACCGGTGGTTGTTCAAAACGATGAACTGACATGGGAAGGCATCTGCTCTTTCTTGTATGAGAAGGGTGCATTCGATAATATTGTTATATCACCTGGACCTGGTTCTCCTACATGCCCAGCAGATATAGGTGAGACTGTTAGAAGTAGAATTCAATTTTTATATATGGGCTTTTTGGCTTACGTAGGATATCGAATGGATAGAGAATCATGGCTTCGAGTTATTATGATTGATGGTTAGTCAAATAGTTTTTTACTTATATGAACGTGATTGATTTTTTTATCCCAAATACAAAAGAATGGCATTGAAGAATGCAATCTATTTGGGGTTCTGAGATTTTACGATGATAAATCATTTTACGACCATGTCTAATAAATCACTTTGAAAATGACAGGATTGTGTCTTCAGCTGCTGTTGGAGTGCTGGGATATCCCTATTTTGGGCGTTTGTCTTGGACATCAGGTCTTTTATTTTCATGCATTTGCAATGCACTTATTACCATTTTATAATGAAAAAAAATTGTTGTAACTTCTACAGTATGCAGTAATGCTTGAATTTTTCCATCACATGTCTTGGTTTTCAATTTAGTTCCATTCAATCTTGGTGGACTTAAATAGACCTTCCTTTTTTGTTCCTATGCATAATTCTTTTTCATTATTTAATCTATGATTAGAGATTTTCTTTGCCGAACTTGAAAGTTCTCGGTCAACATTTTTTTTATGTTGAGAAGCTTCAATGAAGGTTCTATTTGCACCTATAGCATTCCAATCAGTTTTCACTCATTCAGTCTCTTTTTATTGAGGTCTGGTTGTCCGCATTTGACTCGATTGATTTTTTGGTTTGGCAGGCTCTAGGTTATGCACATGGTGCTCAAATTATCCATGCATCTGAGCCAATCCATGGACGTCTGAGGTATTGTGATTTATGATTACAAATTTATCTTGTTTGCTTTATAACGAGTTTGACAGTTTTCACTTCAATTAATTGTTCATTACGTCCTTGTGACTTCAATATTGTTTTACACAAACGCAGAAATGTGTCTTATTTCCTCTAATTCATGGAAAAAGTTCTTGTTTTCCTAAGCATTTATTATTTCTTGTTCCCGTATAGTGAAATTGAGCATGATGGCTGCAAGTTATTTGCTAATATACCGTCTGACAGAAATTCAAGGTTTAAGGTAAGCCTTCTCTTATTTTGAGCTTGAATGTGAAAACAATGGTTTCTCCGTTTCTGTAAAAGCTCATTTGCATGTTGCTCTGTAGTTATGTGATATCATTGGTTATTTTGGCATCACGTTTGAGGGGATATCACGTGGACGACTATAGTGATTATGTCATTTTAAGGCTGGTTCCTTTTTACAGGTTGTTCGATATCATTCACTTGTTATAGATGGAGAATCTCTCCCGGAAGAGCTCATACCAATAGCTTGGACCTCTTCTGATGACACACTTTCTTTCCTGGAGACCCAGAAGTTTGATGCTGCCATCCCTGATACCTTTGAGATTGAGAGTTATCGGGCTTCCAGCCATGTTAATGGAACGAAAAGTAGAAAAGTCATCATGGGAATTAGGCATGCTACTTGGCCTCATTATGGCGTGCAGGTAAGCTCCGAGATTATCTTGCTTTAAGCTGTATTTATCTCATTCTCTTGACATCAGTCATTTTACTTCAGTTTCATCCCGAAAGTGTTGCAACAACTTACGGGAGACAGATATTCATGAACTTCAGAGAAATAACCCGGGATTATTGGCTACGGAGTTCATCATTCAGCAGGGAAAGAAATATCCATTACACTGGTAAAATGAGACTCCTTTTAGAAATATAATTTTGTTATTCTTTTGTTGTGTACTTATTTTCAATCCTTTCCTCCTCTTGAGTGTTCATACTCTTTGGAGATGGTCATTTCACTAAAATAATAACTTCAAATGTAATGTTTGTGATATTAAACACAATTTTCTTGTGGAGTAAATGGTGATTCAACATAATGAAAAAGTCTTGACCTACCTCTTATAGTTTGTCCAAGTACTGTTTAGACAATTTTAAATCATTAATAATTCGACCGAGTCGTCTAGTTTTCCTGCTTTTTTTTTATCTTCTGCTTCATCTTTTGAGATGCATATGCTTCTCTGAGCAGTAAACTTGTTTTAGAGTCCATGCAGGTACCCCATGTTAATAGACTGTTTGGAGCCATTCATACCGGGACGCAATTAATGCAAGGTGCAGAATGGAGAAATCTAGGACATTTTGATATGGTAAATGTTTCGCCTCCGAGCATGCACACTAAATTTCTAAGGTTAAAATGGAGGAAGTTTGATCACTTGGCTAGTAAAGTTGGTGGTTCAAAGAACATATTTTCCGAACTTTTCGGGAAAAATAAGGCTGAAAACACTTTTTGGTTGGACAGTTCATCAACAGAGAAGGTAGGTTTATCACTTTGCAAAATATGTTGCAAGTGGAACATTGCAATTTTCAATTAGTAATCAAAATTTTAGTAAGAATTCATTATTAATTGTCGGATATAAGTTTCAATTATCCGGTTTGCAGAAGCAAAAGATTTAGTAGTATGTTTAGAAGCAAATCCGACTGACTGGCTTTCATAATTTGTTTGTTCATGGATTTATTTTATGATTGATCATCTTCTTTTCTTGAACTTAATTTTTTCCTCTTACAATCAGGGAAGAGCACGGTTTTCATTCATGGGGGGCAAAGGTGGAGATCTTTGGAAGCAATTAACTTTCAGATTGTCTGAAGAAAGGTTTGAATGAAATCTGTTTTTGGTCATCTGTTGATCGATGTAGTCGAAGTTTCTTTGTCTTCATAAATATTTTGAGGTTCCAATTTATCAGTGGTCGATTTTCACTTGTCGTTTTGAATAACGTATGATAGTTAAGCAGTACTTCATTTCTTTTGTAGCGATGCAGCTGGTAGGCATGGAGGTCATTTATTGGTTGAAGATGCCAAAGGCTCTACTAACAGCACGTTTTTGGAAGAAGGTTTTTTCGAATATTTGAACAAGGTATTTCCGGATTTTGATGAATGTATTACTCATTCCTAGCCAGTACATCAGACAGCTTCGATCGAAGTTATCAAATGGAATTCATGTTAGTTTTAGGGTTGTATGTTCCAAGTGTATATCATCTCTGAGGATGACTGCATAAACTTGTCGAAGTGAAAAACATTCAGTCCGATCCCATGAGAGTAATAAGTCGGTTATGCGTCTTCGAATAGTACTGAAAATTATGTTCTGCTTTCCTTCTTATTTATATGATTAAACAGTTTGGTTTTACAATAACTCGCGTTTCTACTTGTGTAACAGGAGCTTCTGTCACTCTGCCATGAGGAAAAAGATTTTGAAGGACTGCCATTTGACTTCTATGGTGGATTTATTGGTTATATAGGGTATTCTGTTTGCAAAAATGTTGATTTCTTTCGGTTATTCCTCCCCTACCGAAACGAAAACAAAACGTTACTCGAGCTTGATAGGTTGCTCCTATTGCAGGTATAATCTTAAAGTAGAATGTGGCGCGGAATCCAACGCTCACAAATCCACAACTCCAGATGCTTGTTTTTTCTTTGCGGATAACCTTGTAGTCATCGATCATCATTTCGATGATGTTTATGTGATGTCGTTACACGAAGGAAATACAACCAAGACGCAGTGGCTGGATGATACTGAAACGAAGCTTGTCAGCTTGAAAGGTTCTGCCACAAGAAAGTTAGATGAGCGGATTTTGAAAGCTGCGGCAAGCTCTCCACATGAAGCAGGCTTTCATTCCGAGAAATCCCGGGAGCAATACATTAGTGACGTCGAGAAATGCCTGGAGTACATTAAAGATGGAGAAAGCTACGAACTCTGCCTCACAACTCAGTTTAGAAAATCCGTTGGCGAAGTAGATCCTTTGAGACTTTATCTTCATCTTAGAGAGGAAAATCCGGCTCCTTACGCGTCATGGCTGAATTTTTCGAAAGAAAAACTATGCATATGCTCTTCGTCTCCCGAAAGGTTCCTACGACTAGATAGAAGCGGTGTACTTGAAGCCAAGCCGATTAAGGGGACCATTGCTCGTGGTGCAACATTGGAGGAAGATGAACGGCTCAAGTTGCACTTGCAGTACAGGTGATTCAATCTATTCTAGTTACATTTGAAGTTATGTTCATGTCATACTCTTATTTCTTGAAGTTCAAGTAACTTTCTCGCTCTCTCGACGCAGCGAAAAGGATCAGGCTGAAAATTTAATGATTGTCGATCTTCTGAGGAATGACCTGGGTCGTGTTTGTGAACCGGGCACCGTTTGTGTGCCTCATCTCATGGAAGTGGAGTCCTATGCAACGGTTCATACTATGGTGAGTACAATCCAGGGGGAAAAACAGTCAAATGTTAGCGCTGTTGATTGCGTAAAGGCAGCGTTTCCCGGCGGTTCGATGACAGGGGCTCCCAAGTTAAGATCAATGGAGCTTTTAGATTCCATCGAGAGCTGCTCCCGAGGTATATACTCGGGCTCCATCGGATTTTTCTCCTATAATCAGACTTTTGACCTTAATATCGTGATAAGAACAGTCGTCATACATGAAGATGAAGCATCTATAGGTGCAGGAGGGGCGATCGTCGCCCTATCCGATCCGGAAAAAGAGTACGAGGAAATGGTATTGAAAACGCGTGCTCCGGCCAATGCCGTGATGGGATTTTGATCACGTTTAGCGTCAACTGAATCAAATACGAACGTTATTCGATGTCGATTTTCTGTCTCGAGTTATTGTTTTGGGAATATAGGTCGGAATCTGCAGAAAATGCAGCAATGCAATGTTGGCATAGGTTTTACCAGATTTATTTCTGCTGAAGGTGAACAAAAGCTATAATGGTTTTAAATAACGTTCGCGATCACGTTTTAGGTCGTGTCGTGTTTATCACGGTTGCGGATATAACGAATGTCATTGCGGATATCGCTGTCGTGAATTTTTTTCGAATAAGCTGATTTTTTTATTAAAAAAACATGTTTTTTTAATAAAAAATTAAAATAATGGAATAATAGCGAAATAGTGATCCGCTATTACTGCGATTGACCACGATCCACCTCTAATAGTGTGATCCAACTTTACATCGTTATTTTTCACGATAGAAGTTTCAGAAACCGTTGCGACCGCAATACCATTATTCGATCATGACCCTGAAAGCTATTTGTTTCAAACGAAGATGTTCTCAACTTTGTAATAGTAATTGATGGCAATAGAAATTTATACCAGTTATAAAATTTTAAATTCAAGTCGAGTTATAAAATAGAACTCGGATAACTTGAAATTTTAAGTAATTAGTAGATTGATTTTTAAGTTTGAGTCGAGTCTCTTAATTTCGCATGATATATGTATATTACATGAAAAAAATATAATAATATAATATGTATATTATATAAGGTGATAGAAAATTATTTAAGTTTGAATCAAACATGCATGCATGCATGCATGCATACATACATGCATGCATGCATACATACATACATACATACATACATACATACATACATACATACATACATGCATGCATACATGCATGCATGCATGCATGCATACATACATACATACATACATGCATGCATGCATGCATACATACATACATACATACATGCATACATGCATACATGCATACATGCATACATACATGCATACATGCATACATGCATACATACATACATACATACATACATGCATACATGCATACATACATACATACATACATACATACATACATACATACATACATACATACATACATACATACATACATACATACATACATACATACATACATACATACATACATACATACATACATACATACATACATACATACATACATACACATACATACATACATACATACATACATACATACATACATACATACATACATACATACATACATACATACATACATACATACATACATACATACATACATACATACATACTACATACATACATACATACATACACATACATACATACATACATACATACATACATACATACATACATACATACATACATACATACATACATACATACATACATACATACATACATACATACATACATACATACACATACATACATACATACATACATACATACATACATACATACATACATACATACATACATACATACATACACATACATACATACATACATACATACATACATACATACATACATACATACATACATACATACATACATACATACATACATACATACATACATACTACATACATACATACATACATACATACATACATACATACATACATACATACATACATACATACATACATACATACATACATACATACATACATACATACATACATACATACATACATACATACATACATACATACATACATACATACATACATACATACATACATACATACATACATACATACATACATACATACATACACATACATACATACATACATACATACATACATACATACATACATACATACATACTACATACATACATACATACATACATACATACTAATACATACATACATACATACATACATACATACATACATACATACATACATACATACATACATACATACATACATACATACATACATACATACATACATACATACATACATACATACATACATACATACATACATACATACATACATACATACATACATACATACATACATACTACATACATACATACATACATACATACATACTACATACATACATACATACATACATACATACATACATACATACATACATACATACATACATACATACATACATACATACATACCATACATACATACATACATACATACATACATACATACATACATACATACATACATACATACATACATACATACATACATACATACATACATACATACATACATACATACATACATACATACATACATACATACATACATACATACATACATACATACATACATACATACATACATACATACATACACATACATACATACATACATACATACATACATACATACATACATACATACATACATACATACATACATACATACATACATACATACATACATACATACATACATACATACATACATACATACATACATACATACATACAGTATTATAATATTATAAATCTTTATAATTAAATTTAAATAGAAACTCGAATAACTTAATTCGACTCAAAAAAATTTCAAATAAATTTTGATTTATAAAATGATTCATCAATTCAAATATCTTAAAATATTTTTGCTTGATTTGACTCTATTAAATGATCATCCCTATGACTGAGTACATACCTATTTTCTGGATAAATAATTAAATATAATTTTACAAATACTATATTTATATTAACAAGTATGTACCCAAAAAGAATATTTATATTAACGAGACTACGTATTTTAAGAATACGTTTATCAAGACAATATATTTTAAACTTAAGGGTAAATTACGCATTTAATACCTAAACTAACAATTTTGGTACATTTTAGCCCCTCAACTTTTTATTTTTTTAAATCATATTTAATATTTAATTTTCGTTTAGTACCTTATGGTTAAAAAACTTAGCTGCCGTTTTCACGTGACACCTTTTTTATAGGTAAATTGCATCATCCATCATTCGACTATTTTCTCACTCCTATTTTGATCACTAAAGTTTATATATTTTTAATTGAATTACTTAACTTTTAAATTAATCATATTTTAATCACTATAACTTTAAAAAAAATTTAATTTTTAATTATACATTAATAAAATAATAATAAAAACTTCATGTCATAATAATTATTAATAAAATAAATTAGAGTGATCAAAATATGAGTAAAGTGAAAGTTGAATAGTTAAACTGATTTTTTTAAAAAAATTTAGTATCAAAATAAGGGTGAGAAGATAATTGAGTGACAATAATGTAATTTACCCATAAAAATGCAGTGTCGTTAAATTTTTAACGGTTAGGTACTAAAATGAAACACGAAAACTAAACGTTATGTATGATTATTAAAAAAAATTAAAAATTTAGGTACCAAAATAGATTAAAATTAATAGTTTAAGTATTAAATATATAATTTATCCTAAACTCTAAAACAATATCTGACCTATGTAATATATTTGATTTATTAATGGATCCAGATCTAATTGGAATACACCAATAGGTCACTCCAATCCTCACATAGTATTGGAATACTCCAATAGGTCACTCCAATCCTAGAAAGGGTAATTGAGACTTCAAATCTAAATAATTAAACCAACATCAACCTCATTAACATGTGTATATGTAATTTTATATCATTTATTTTTCAGTTACCGATATCCAATCTATTAATCGATTAATGTAAATCATATATTACACAGATTTATTACATGGACAACCCTTCCAAGTTCCGACTTAATTTGCTATATTAACAACACTATAATTTGAATCTCTGACCTTACTTAAGGGCGGTGATGGACCAAAAGAGGACTGGGGGCAATCGGCTCTGAAAATTTTAAATTATTATATATTTTAGATATTTTCTTTGTATTTTCTATTGATAATTCATTTTTGTCTCTTAAAATTTTAAAATTCCAGCCTCTCTTTAAATTTTAAAAGTTTGTCATTGACATAAAATTCTATGTTAATCCTTGATTAAAAAATCTAATGCACTAATTGATTATTATTTTAATTTTTTGTATTTTAATAATATAATAGTAATAATAGATGGAATTTAGTAATCAACTAATTAATTGAGTTTATCAATAGCAAACGAGTCTTTATATACAACACGCATGAGTCATCATTTCAAAGAGAGCCTCTATTAATGAATAGTATAATTATTATCAAATTTGGACACTTTAAACATATATAATCTTAGGTCTATTTTTATAAGGATTAATTATAAAATAAGTGTTTAAATTATACATTTTTTTTCTAAATAGGTGTTCAAACTTTTTTTGAATCATCTGGGTGCCTAGGGATGGGCATGGGACTTGAACCCAACGGGTTCCGACCCAACCAGATCGGGTGAAAAATTGTGTTCAAATTTGGGTTAGAGTCGGGTTCGAGTTTAGGGTGAAAAATACATAATCCGAACCGACCTAAAAAATTGTAATTTTACCTTATATATTTAAAGATAATTGCAATAATACCCCATCTATATATTATTTTCTTTTAATTAAATTCCTATTTTTATTGAATAAAAATAATATTTTTAATAAATATATTATTTTGGTTTGGGTCGGATTCCAATTTTATCTCAAAAATCGGGTCGGGTCGAGTTCAGGTCAAGTGGAGGATTTAAAATTTGTGGGTATGGTAAGGTGGAACGAAAATTTGACCCGACCCATGTCCATCCCTATGGGTGCCTAACGTTACAAACATAACCGTAACTATCGTTAAATTATGTCGTTAATGAACACATGTCACGTTTTGATATTTTTAAAATTTTATTTAAAAATTAAAAATATATTTAAAAAAACACAAAATTTTCGAAATACTTTAAAAAATTCTCAAAACTTTGAAAACCCTAATTTCAACTCCTAAACCCACATAGCTCTTTGTTGTCGATGAAACTCCACCCGACCTCGTCTCCCCAACGATCAATAACCCTATGAAATCACGACCAATCACGACCCCACACGATCCCGATGGTCAATCGGCAACAATTATGGCGTCGTATGACTAGTAAGATGGTAGAGACTACATCAGCGGTGGTGGTCGTGGCCGACAAAGGCGACGTCGGCGGGTTAGGATTAGGGATTTAAGACTTTTATGGATTTGGATTTTTTTAAATTTAAGAGAAATTAGTTTTTATATAAATATAATAATATTTTTATTTTTTAAAAAATAAATTTTCAAAATTACCATAACATAACATGTG